GGCTGCTTTCTCCTTTCTGTGCTCTTAGCTGTTGGTAGATTATCTCACTCTTGGCTGTTGAGATTGTGCTGGGTACAGCCTCTGTCAATGGCTTCAAGGTTTTGCTTCCCCCCAATATGTTCAGCAAAATGCTGGCTTCCTGCTTTCCTTGTTAACCCCTGGGGTGGCTCTTGTGTGTTTGGTTGACCCTGCAGTCTTCTGTCTATTGTAAGCATTCAGAATTCTCTGCTTGATCAGTGGTGTGGGGTGTGCTGGGGCAAAGGGAAGGGATTTTTCTACTCCCTTTGGCAGGAAGAATTGATTCTTTGTCAGGGTTAGAGTTGCCAACAGATGCCCCTTTGTAAGGTGTCATGATACTTCCTGGGTAACACCATTAAATGTTTCCTGGGGAGCAGAACTCTAGGGTCATTGCTGAATTACTATTTAACTTCCATGGGTATGTGAGCCTTCAACTGCTATTCAACTGTACTATTGAACTCTGCACGTGGTAAAACTAAGATTCCCATGAACTGAGTCTTTGATAAAAGGAATCATGGGCTGAATCTTTGACAGAACATGTCTGTTTTGTTCAACACTGTATACTCAAAGTCCAACATAATGCATACATGGCACATAGTAGGTGTTCAATAGAAGTTTATTGAATGAATGGACTTGGAGAAGAAGCAGCTGGCTATGTGTTGTTATCTCAGCATTTATCTATTTTTTCCTCTGAATGAAGAAATGTAACTATGTTGACTGCACAGGTTAAAAGCTAATTTAGTGACTCAGATTATAAGGTCATGAATATATGGGAAAAGTAATGAATATATAAGTTATTGGAAGACAGTTTTGGGTAGTACTTTCTGGACTAAACTCTACCTATTCTTAGAGTGACTAATAATCACAAGTAAATTGTCTACTTTTCTCTCTCATGCACACACACCCTTTCTGCTCTTCCAGGAATATATCTGGATATACATACAAAGGTGCTACAGAATTTCTAGGGGACCCAACATGAGAAGGACTGGAGCAATTGTATTCTGAGCTCCCTAACAAAAGTTCACTGCATAAATACTGAATATTTTTTTCACCTAGAATCTCAGGAAATTTACCTTTCTATAAAAAATAGGTTTAGAAAAGGCTTTGAAAGGTCAAATCTAACATCTGTTTCCCTAAGAATTTTGTTTTAAAGCATGGGTAACACATAATTAAGGGGCATTTATTCTATAAAAGGGAGAAATACTCTTTTGTCTCATTTGGTTTGTTTTGGGGAAGAAATTGGCTTATTTCTGTTAGCATATTTCCATTTAGATTTACTTTCAGAGGGGAAGCATCTCTTCTTTGAACTTCAGCTTTATTTAATGTTTGAAGATGAAAGAAAAAATAAAGTGTGATGAAGAATAGTAAGGGATCCTGAAAATACAGAAGTTACCAAATTTGTTTAAGGAGAAATACAAAATCTAAGCAGACCTATAACAAGTAAAGAGATTCAGTCAATAATCAAAAACCTCCAAGCAAAGAAAAGCTCCTGACCAGATGGCTTCACTGATGAATTCTACCAAACATTTAAAGAAGAGGTAACAATAATCATTCTCATTAAAATGAAGAAACACTTTCTAACTCATTCTATGAAATGAACATTATCTTGATACCAGAGCCAGACAAAGACATCACAAAAAAGGAAAACTATAGACAAATAGGCTGTATGCATAAAGATATACAAATTCTCAACATTGTGTCCCCAAAATACAAGGTGGTTCAACAAAACAAAACCAACCAATGCAATATATCACATTAGTAGAATGAAGAGGGGAAAAAACATAGTCATCTTAATTGGGCCGGAAAAAATATTTGACAAAAATCTGATACTACTTCATGATAAAATCACTTAACAGAGCGGAGATAGAAGGTAATTTCTTCAACCAGATAAAGGGCATTTATGAAAAAGCTAGTGCTAATTTCATATACAGTGGTAAAAAAAATGAAAGCTTTCCCCCTAAGCTCAGGAACAAGACAAGGATGCCCATATCCATTACATCTGTTCAAAAGTGTATTGTAAATTCTAGCAAGATCAATTAGGCAAGTAAAGAAATAAAAGACATTCAAACTACAAAGGAAGAAGAAAGAATATTTGCTGATGAAATGATCTTATCTATAGAAAGTCCTAAGGAATCCACAGTAAGCAAACAAAAAACAATTTACGCTAATAAGCAAATTTGGTAAAGTTGTAGGATATAAGATCAACATACAAAAACAATTTCATTTCAATACAAAAGCAATAATCAATCAAAAAATCAAATTAAGAAAACCAGGCTAGTGTAACATATCCATATAATTAAATATTATTCAGTCACTAAAAAAGAAAAAATTACTGACACACCCAAAGTGTGGGTAGCCCTAACATGCTGTTAAGTAAAAGAGCCCAGACACAAAGGTCTGTATTATATAATTCAATTTATATGAAATATATATAATTTATAAATTCTTAGAGACATAAATCAGATTAGTGTTTGTTTGGGGATAGAGAAAGGAGGGAAATGTGAAGAGACTATTCAGTGGACACTGGGTTTCCTTTGAGGGTAACAAAAATGTTTTAAAACTTTAGGGTAGTGATGATTGCACAACATTGTGAATGTACTAAATTACACACTTTAAAGGGGTTAACTTTATGTTATATGAATTTTGCCTCAATAAAAATAAAAACAAGAGAAGGAAATTCTGTGTTACATTTGTTATGTATGAATTAGAGTTAATGCAAATTAAAAATGCCAAGCTTTATCTTTGAAAAAATGATGAATATTAAAAAGTAAACATTTTTTAATGCTCAAACATTTTTTAAAAATGAAAAATAAGGAATTATATGTGGGTAAGGTAGGGGTGGTAAAGCCGTGTGGATAAAAACAAAAATCTTTTCTACAGGCCCCGTAAGTCAATCACAAAACATTATTTGCTCCTACTATGTTCACGGCATGACACTATGTAGTTTGAGTAACTGAAAGGCTATAAAATCTACTGTCATCTCCTTTTCCTCTCGTGGACAGGCAGGAGCCAATGCGATTGGCCTAGAAAGAATATTCTGAATCTGACTCAGGCAGGGAGGTGAGTTAATGGGGGTTAAAAGGAACAATAAAGGGGAAAAACCAAAATGAAAGCCAGAGAACACATCCAGTAGTCAATTGAATGGGGGAAAAACAGAAGGATGAGGCAAAGCAATTAAATAGGGGCCACCAGATGAAATAGTTCCCATAAAAGAGGATGAGTTGGTGGCATATGGAAAAATAAAGATAAGGTAATTAAAGGCATTTATAGAGCACCTATGGCCTTTGATGGCTAAACAAAATGCCACTAAAAGCACCCACTTAGCTTGAAAAACAAACACATAAAGTAGAAAATAATTTGGTGTTAAGTTGTATTTAATTTTATCTTAACACATGAGAAATCTATATATTAGAGTGGGGCAGAGATGGATAAGAATATTTCATGTGGCAAATTAAATTTATATTATATCCTAAGAAATGGGCAGGAATTGGACACTGAGGGGGTGAGTAGAGACATTTCTTGCAAGTAAGGAGCATAACGAGATGGACATGGGAAGGGGGATATATGAGACAGTAAGGACTTTGTTTAGTGTAATAGTTTACGTTGTGCAGAAAAAAAAAAATTGCGTTGGATAAGAATCTAGGGACCAGATCAATGAAGTTCTTAAACACCTGCATGAAGAGTTTGGACATTATCCTTCATGCTGTGAACAAGGATTTAATATGATAAAAGCAGAATTTTAGATCAATTTAATGGTATTTATAATGAGCTGAAAATTCGAGACAGCATAATAGGGAGATGACTGGTTAGGAGGTTTTCATGGTAATCCAGGTAAGATTATGAAAAGGCTAGGATGATTACAGTTAAATTGAAATAAAAGATTATATAAACATAAAATTTAGTTGCAGATTAATTAAAGGAATGAATTCAAGTTGAAAAATTTATCATGATGCAAAAGTTTTTAAGATGGGAAACTAAAAGGAGAGTAGATAATTGTACATTTTAGGATAACTTAAAGAGTGTAATTGGGTTGTTTGTCGCTCAAAGGATAAATGCTTGAGGGGATGGAAACCCCGTTCTTCATGGTGTACTTATGTCACATTGCATGCCTGTATCAAAATATCTCATGTGCCCCATAAATACATACACCATGTACCTACAAAATTAAAATAAATAAATAAATAAAATAAAAGGAGAGTAGAAACACTATAAAAGATGGTGTGATTGGAAAGAACTAGATTTGCTGTATGAACAAAGAGCCCATTTGAACACCCTGAGTTTGAGAGCCCAGACGCACATCATAACGATTTCCTCTACGGAAGACATCCAGAACAGGAAGTGGAGAGAAAATACAGATCAGAAAACACAGATTTGAAAGTCATTGTTTACCACCTCTAGTACTCTTTCGAAGGGTTTCAATGTTAAGGGTATTTTGGGAAAAGGACTTAGCATATTGCATCATTATTTCATGGAAGGATTCTGCCTTTCCTCTTGCATTTGTCTATTCCTATAGAATGATGAAGAAACAAAGACATGGGATGAGAGGAATGCTGTTACAGGGTACCACACAGCATGTAAGCTGCTGCTTTGAGGGAAGTATTCCCCTCAGGGGCTTCCCTTTCCTGTTCATGCTCAGCTTGGTGCTGTACGAAATATAAGCCAAGTCAAGTATAAACTCAAAGGTAAATAATCGAGTTGGATCTTCAGGAAAATTTGTGCAGACATGAGTCTGGGGTCCCCACTAGCCTCATTGTGTAAGCTGTGCAGATACCTTCGTGGGGAACATGGACACTTCCTTTCTGAGATGTACATTAAATACGGTTGAGAAGGTTCATGCCTAATTTTAAGTTGGCTTTTCTAGCAGGTGATTTCTCTATTCTAATAAAGGCAGTTTTCTAGTATGGAAGGTGAGGTGAGACCACTGAGGATCAAAAGCAACCAAAATAAGAAACTACACTGAGCCAAATAAACTTTACACTTACACTTTCAAAGAGGCGATCTCTAGAACACTTCTGAGGACCCAGCAGCACAGCAAGAGAACTCTTTAAAGAGAAGAAGAAAAATACATTTATATTAAAATCTTATAAATGCTGCAAATTAAAAAAAAGCCCTACACAAATCTTTTAATAATATCCATCTGCCTTCAGAATTTATTGTCAGAAAAATGATGCATTTCGCTAACCAATGATTGCTGACCAATCATTCATCATCCTATTACTTTCCCTTCTTATCATTTTTTATTTCTTTTTCTTCTCACAAGGGGGAGTGGGTCCTTACTCACCTTCAGGGAATAAATGGTTTCAGAACTGTGCCAATTCAGATTTGTTTGCAAGATGCATTTTTTCAAGTATCTGATTTTCCACTGTTGTGGCTATAAGTATCATTAGAAAATTCTGTGATGGCAGCTGGGGTGAAACAGCAAAAGACAGCAACTCACAAAAAGGTAGTTTCAGCTGTGTAAACAACTATAATGGTGAGTTGGACAAAGATAATCTGACATGGGTAGGCACAAGAAGGAAGAAAGAACAGGATAATAAGAAAATAGTTCTCTTTCTCCCTTTACGGCAAGAATGAACTGCTTTCTTATCTAGATGACTTAGAAGGGAATTTGGCAGAAACCGTGTTTCCTACCCATAAGTGACCCAGAAGTCTAAATCAAGGAGGCCTTCTCTTTCTTTTCTCAATCTGCTGGTTCACTTAGAACAGCTCCCACATTTTTACTAGGTCTGTGGTGATGCTTTTTGAGGTTGTGGTTGTCTCTCCTATTTTATCCTCAGGAAATTTAATTTGTACCAAACCATTTCTTTGTACAAGCCTCAGATGCCTGTAAAAAGAGGGGTCAAAAGAGATCATCTCCATGCTTTCTTCCAACTTAATATTCTGTGATTTCAGAAAACATACACAAAACTGTTCACTTGGAACGGGCATTCAGGCTGACACAATTTATTCAGAAGTCACTTCTGCATTTCCATTCATAGCCTTTGAAGCCATTCTCCTTATGAAAAACTCACATAGACATTTCTCAAACACTGCAATCACCTACACCCACCCCAAGTATAAATTTTTATTGGGCTGGGTGCAGTGACTCACACTTGTGATCCCAGCACTTTGGGAGGCCGAGGTGGACAGATCATTTGAGGTCAGGAGTTTGAGACCAATGTGGTGAAACCCTGTCTCTACTAAAAATACAAACAAATTAGCCGAGTATGGTGGCTCATGCCTGTAATCCCAGCTACTTGGGAGTCTGAGGCAGTATAATTGCTTAAACCCAGGGGGCAGTGGTTGCAGTAAGCCAAGATTGTGCCACTGCATTCCAGCCTGGGTGACAGAGTGAGACTCATCTCAAAAATAAATAAATAAATAAGAAAGAAAAGAAAATTATTGGCAGTGGCCAAGGGTAGAACAAGTGTAAACACTTCTAAAACCAGTGAAGTGTCATGAGATATGTTAACAATTTAGTCCTCACTCTACCCGTGCTTATTATTTCTGATAATGTCCACAGCTCTCTCTTTCTCTGTTCATAATTTGATAGTTAAATATTTCATCTTGTCGCCATCACCCTGTTTCTCCAAAAAGCTATTAATGACTTTTTAGAGAAGAATCAAATATTGCCAAGAAATTTAAAAATTATGTTTCATTAGAGTAATTCTTATTTAAAAAATATTGCTAGAAAAGATCCAGAAGAGCTGTAAAAAATAAATCAGGCTGGGGAGGATTTGGTGGTCCGTTCTGCAGGCAACCTTTTCTGAGCAATGGTGGATGGCTGAGTCCATTCAAAAGTCAGCACCTTTAGTCTTGCCTGTTTCAGTAGGAGTCTTGCCTTAAAGGTAACAAGAAGGCTGGATTATGGTGACGATAAAGTTCTTGGCTTAGTACTCTCTATGGTGCTGTACTCAGAATAAATGGGAAATATATTGAAAAATATTCTGAAAGTGAAGTTTCAGACTTTCTCCAGTAAATATTCAGTTGCAATTAAGCATTTTGGTTCAACATGGCTCTGAGTCTGAATGGTGCTAAGCTTAGATACCAGACGCAATATGGTAAATTCTGGAAAGAGGGCTCCTGTTTGGAAGTGCAAAAGAAAATCTATTAAGAATGCATTAGCCAGAATAAAAGCTGGTAAAATGTTTTTAAGATCAACTAAATAAGTGAGTTTGAAAAACATTTCCTTTAGCTACTCTGTGTACAGGGTTTTCAGGGCTTTTACTGGAAAATTATGTCAGTCAAATCAATGGTGGTGCTCCTTTCAAGTCCTCCAGGAAATTGTCCCTTCCTCGTCTTTTTTTTGTTTGTTTCTTTTTAAAGAGATACTAAGGGTTTTTGCTTCTTTGTTTTATACTGGTAAGAAGTTGCTTTCTCTCATCTAAAACACCTTAGTTAAATTCATTCATCTGTGTTCTTGGTTTAGACCCAAATCTGACTTTTGACTGTTTACTCCAAAACTGGCCTTCCAATGAGTATCCACTTCTGCCAGTATCAAAACTAATAATTATGATGATAAAAATAATTATTGTTAACAATTCTAAACACCTCCTTAAAAGTGTGAACACTGAACTCTTATGGTTATTTTGTTTTCTTTTATTTATTTTTGTTTTATTTATTGTAATTTAGGTTCGGGGCAGATGTGCAGGTAATGCAGAATTGTTGCATAGGCACACACATGGCAAGGTGGTTTGCTGCCTGCATACCCCCATCACCTATATCTGGTATTTCTCCCCTCATTATCCCTCCCTATTCTCCCCACCCCCGCTGTCCCTCCCCTAGACCCCTCCTACTGACTGCAGTGTGTGTTGCTCCCCTCCCTGTGTCCACGGGTTCTAACTGTTCAACACCCGCCCATGAGTGATAACATACGGTGTTTGGTTTTCTATTATTGTGTCAGTTTGCTGAGAATGATGATTTCCAGATTCAACCATGTCCCTATGAAGGACACAAACTCACTGCTTTTTATGGCTGTGTAGTATTCCATGGTGTATATGTGCACATTTTCTTTATCTTACTTTATATTTTAATTTTGGGTTGTATTTTGCTCCTCTTCTCTATCTTTTCTGCACTGCTAATACCACCCAATTTACAGACATTGACACTGTCTAAACATGAAAGAGAGCTAGAGGTAAAGACAAGACAATTCAAAACAACTTCCTCAGTTCTCTGATTCACTTGACAAAAAGAGCTACCCCCATAAATAACTTGTATGATAATAATCAGGAGTATTACTGCTCCCACAGACCAGTCTGCCTATGGTGCCTGAAGTTCGCCAACCTATGTAAATCATACTGCCAGTTTACCCACACCTTATACATTTGTAAACAGATACAGTTCAGTTTAAATAAACCTCATATGAGGGAAGATTTTAGGAAGAATGTGTTAATTCTAGGAGAGTTATGTGTATGGGGAACTCTCCCATTTAGCATGAGGACTATGGGAAAAGAGGTTAAGGCATGTTTTGAGTAATTTGGCATTTTTGCTTTTTTCTTTTCCTCTCCTTTTCTATTATCAGTGGTCTGGGTCAGCATCCCAAATTCAAATTTTCTATGATCACTCCAATTCTTCATAGACTACTTTGGTTTCACATTTATTCTTTTCTTGCCCCTACCACTTAACATGAGAAGGTGGCATGAGACTTAACATGAGAAATATATTGAAAAATATTCTAAAAGTGAAGTTTCAGACTTTCTCCAGTAAATATTCAGTTGCGATTAAGCATTTTAGGTCAACACGGCTCTGGGAGTCATGCAAGTGCACCTCTCTGACCAGCAATGCCAATGGATCGATAATGCTGTAAACCACAGATATCACGGCTTTGGATCCAATCCCAACATGTATTATATGCCACTGATAACATGATCAATTTCAGCATATACACAAAGATATAATATCCCAACAATGTTTGAAATCAACAAAGAGTAAAAGAAGGCTCTGAATGTCTGATTCTTAAAGCAGGTAAACTCAAAGACAGATTTAATGTACACTCATTTTATCTGTTCTTTGTAACAGAATTTTATAGATGGTATGTGCAGAAAGCTTATCTTACTTATATGAAGAATTATCTTCACAAAACTTAACACACTCCATTGTTATATGTTTTAAAAATTCTTATACAGTATTCTTATAAACTGCAGCCCCAAGCAACTTTATAATTGGTAGGTTCTTTACATTCTTACACATAACTATGGTCTTAGTTTTTTGTTGAAATAATGCAGGATGAGTCCTCTGAAAGTATAAAAACATATACATTTTATACATTTTACACATTAATAGAATTCATTCACTTATAAATTTCTGATTATTAGATGTCTAATATTATATTAGTCAATGCTTTAAGTGATGTGAATACAGAAGGTGCACAAAATATGAAGCCTTTCTTTTTGCAAAGTTTATATTCTTGAAGGAGACAGATATCAATAACAACCACCACAACAACTCAACAAGTAAATATATAATATATGAGAAGAAAAATAAGGCAGGTTATAGGCTATATTTAGCCTTCCTCTTTTCCTGAGTGAGCACTCAGTGATAAGGCGCCATTTCAGATCAGGTCAGGACCTTTCCTAAAAGGGTGACATTTGAGCAGAGATTTGAATGAAGATCTCAAGAGGACAAGTTTGAGATGTTTTATCTTCTGATAGCTTGTAGTCACACAGCACTAATTAAACAAATCAGAAAATAAAATTATTTCAACTAAATAGTCCATTGAACAAGGACGAAACAACTGGTTTTATAGTCCAAAATTTTTACTTTTTATACTGGCTGGTTTTATGGCACATGAATACAAACTAAGATATAGTTTTAGGTTTACTATCTTCTAGGGCAAAACAAAATCCCTGGCTGGAGCCCCCTGATGGCAAAAATTTTTGGTGGTTATCACCTTTTTTAATTCTATAAATTGAGTAGCGAGTGATAAACCCAGGGAGTAGCTGAAAATTGTGACTGTTGTTGAACTCTGTCTCCCCATGTCTGCAGTGAGAGTAAGCAGCCATCACACAACCAAAGGGATGTCAGCAAACTAGATGGTGCTTACAGCTATCTGTCAACCAACAGG